TTTTAAAAATATTATTTATATATTTTTTTAGTGTAGAAACACTCCATATTAGTTTTCTAGAGCTACCATAACTAAGTAACACAAACTGGGTGGCCTAAACGATGGAAATTTATTTTTTCACAATTCTGGAGGCTAGAAGTTTGAGATCAAGGTGTTGGGAAGGTCCATTTCTTCTGGAGGCATCTCTCCTTGGCTTGAGAGTGGCTGTCTTCTCTCTTCATCTTCGCATGGTTTTCTCTCTAAGCCTAGCTATGTCTTAATCTCTTCTCAAATTCATACGTCAGTCATATTGAGCCAGGGTCCACCCATGTGACTTCTTTTCTCCTTAATTACCTCTTTAAAGGTCCTGTCTCCCTATAGAGCCACTTTTTGAAGTACTGGGGTTTAGAACTTTGACACATACATTTTTTGGGGACACAGCTCAGCCCATAACACCCTCATGTCAATAATGGGGACAAACATCATTCTCACTTAGGTCATCGGCACAAAGGCCAAAGAATGAGTCTGAGCCACCACCTTGCAAGCCAAGATTCCGAAATCATGTTGGAATCTGGGGTCCAGCCTGGGGCATCGCTTCCCTCCAGGTACACTTTAGATGTGACATGTGTATTAATCTCAGTTGAGCAGAGCAATGAAGTGCGAATGTTTGTATATCTCTCTTAATTGAACAGAGAGTAAAAGACATTAAAAATGAGATAAAAAGTGGCATTGGCAGTTAAGTCATATCCTTTGCAAGTGGTAGTAAAAAAGACTATACTCAGGGCTTGCAAAAATTGATGACAGTATTGTGTTTTGTTTTCATGTTAATAATAGATTATATCATACACAAAATAAGCAAATAATTCATATAAAATCGAGAGATTTTCAATTTGTCAAAGTCCCCTTTTCCTCTGTCATTAAGTAGGATAGCTAGAAGAGTTCTGTAGTTGGGGACAATAGGTGAAATCAAAGTAGCAGAAAATAGTGATTTTTTTTTTATATATTTTACAGCTTTATTGAGATGTAATTCACACACCATGAAATTCACCCACTCTACCATCCTTCCTTCCTCCCTCCTTCCCTCCCTCCCTCCACTTTCTCTGTTTCTTTCTTTTTTATATTTATTTGTTTTTTTATTGCATTTTAGTTTTGGGGTACATGTTTTGGGGTACATGCAAGATTGTTGCATAGGTACACGCATGGCAGTGTGATTTGCTGCCTTCCTCCCCTTCACCTATATCTGGAATAGTGATGATTTTTTAAAGCGCTAATTGAAGCCTTAAGTGTCTGTCAGTGTTCTGCTTGCTTTGGGGCTGAAATCCACTCTGTTCTTGAGTCTGTGCTGTTCACCATGGTAACTTCAATAAAAGTCCCCTCACAAATGTTTTTCTTCTAGAGTGCAAAGCACCTTTTTAAAGAAGAAGGCTGACAACCTGGTAGGAGTGGGTGTTTGGAAAATAAATGAAAAGTCTTCTGCTTTCTTCATAATTGCTGTGGGTGGCAGGAGGAGAGGAAATCACTGAGGGGACAAGATTGGGTAGAGAAAATGTTTTATCTTGTTTTCAGATAAGAATTAATTTGATTTTTGAGGCCAGAAATTAATAAAAAAAATACTAGAGAAGAAACTTTTCCCTTTCATAAAATGTCCTTATTTATTGTTTATTCATTTATTCTGAGATGGAGTCTCATTCTGTTGCCCAGGCTGGAGTGCAGTGGCATGATCGTGGCTCGCTGCAACCTCCACCTCCTGGGTTCAAGCAATTCTCTTGCCTCAGCCTCCCAAATAGCTGGGATTACAGGTGCGTGCCACCATGCCCTGCTAATTTTTGGTAGAGGTGGGGTTTCATCATGTTGGTCAGGCTAGTCTCAAAATCCTGACCTCAGGTCATCCACCCACCTCAGCCTCCCAAAGTACTGGGATTACAGGCATGAGCCACTGCACCTGGCCAAAATGTCCTTATTTCTGATCTTAAAATTTGGACAGTTTTTGGTTATCCAAATTCATGGGTCACTCTGGAGTATGAATTTTGTATGGGACAAGTTTTGCCAAAACCTGATTCAGTGAATTCTGCTTGGGTCCAGATGTAACTGTCTTGGGTTCTACATTGGGAAACTTTACTAAAGTGGGACTTTGAGCACAGTATCAAAATATCCTTGGCTTCCTTCTAGTTCCTCCCCATAAAATGTGGAGGTGACAGGAGCCCAGGGGTTTTCAGTCCTGGTTTCATATTTAAATCAGTGGGGATCTTTAGAAAATGACAATGCCTCCATCCTTCCCATAGATTATAGTTTAATTGAGCTGGGGTGACACCAGATGTAGATTTTTTTTTTTTTTTTTTTTTTTGAAAGGGGATTTTTTTTTTTCCCGGGGTTTGTAAAGTGGGATGAACACAGGCTTTATACAGCGTTCAAACCCCCCCTGCTCAAGTGAAGCTCCCCCCTCAGCTTCCCAAGTAGCTGGAACCGCAGGCATGCACCACCCCACCCAGCTATTTTTTTTTTTTTTTTTTTTTTGTAGAGAGAGGCTCTCACTATGTGGCTCAGATGGTCTCAAGCTCCTGGACTTAAGCGATCCTCCTGCCTTGGCCTCCCAAAGTGTTGGGATTATAGGTATGAACCACTGTGCCCAGCTCAAATGTAGATTTTTTTAAGCACCCAAGGCAATTTTAATTTCTAGCTAGACTTGAGAATCACTGTATTTGCTGATCTCAATTCACTTCCAATTCTATCATTCCATCATTCTAAGGCATCTACCTACAAACTGACTGAAGCAAGACTTTATTCTGATAGGTGTGCCAATTTAAGTACCTTTCCTTTCCATTTTGTTACATATCTTTCTTTGCAGGACTCAAGAAAGAAAGCCTTTAGCTTTTAATTTAAGGAACTCAACATTGTTATTCCTGGTTATCCCACTCAGTGTCCAGAATAAGCTCAAAAAGTCATGTCAGTGTTTAAGGCAGATGTATGTTTCCACTTTTAAAACACATGTGTTTTCAAAAAGTTTTATTGTGTAAATTTTGGTCGAAAGATATTCGCTAGATTCAATGTTTTATGTATTAAATTCACTAGATCCAATATTTGATATAAAAAGCTGTCTCTTTTATTTGAGACAGGGTCTTGCTCTGTTGCCCAGGCTGGAGGGCAGTGGCAAAATCACCAGCTCACTGCAGCTTTGACCTCCCAGGCTCAAGCCATCCTCCTGCATCAGCCTCCTGGAGTAGCTAGGACTATAGGTGCATGCCACTATGCCTGGCTAATTTTTAAATTTTTGGTAGAGACAGGGTAGCCCTATGTTGCCCAGGCTGGTCTCAAGCTCCTGGGTTCCAGTGATCTTCCTGCCTCAGCCTCCCAAAGTGCTGGGATTACATGTGTGAGCTACTGCATCTGGCCTATAATATTATTTTTTTAATGGACCAAGACAAAGCTAATAGTAGGATTAATTATTTTTTAATGGACCAAGACAAAGCTAATAGTAGGATTCTCAAATGACTATAAAACTTTTTGTTGGCAGAGAGGGTAATGTTTCTTATTAGAATAGTGGTTCTCATCCTTGACATCACATTAGAATTGCCTGGAAATGTTTTTTAAAATCTTCACGATTGGGCACAGTGGTTTATGCTAGTAATCCCAGTACTTTGAGGGGATGAGGCAGGCAGATTGCTTGAGCTCAGGAGTTTGAGACCAGCCTGGGCAACACGGTGAAACCCCGTCTCTACTAAAAATATAAAAATTAGCCTGGCATGGTGGTACACACCTGTAGTCCCAGCTACTTGGGGAGTGAGGCAGGAGGATCACTTGAACTGTGGAGGTTGAGGCTGCACTGAGCCAAGACGATGTCACTGCACTCCAGCCTGGGTGACAACGTGAGACCCTGTTTCCAAAAAAAAAAAAAAAAAAAAAAAAAAAATCCTTATGCTTTGGCTATGTCCTAGACTAAATCAGAATCACTGGACCAGGTACCAGATTTTTAAAAACTCCCTAATAGGCACTTTTTACTAAAACACTCAGCCAAGGTTGAGAATTGCTTCTCTAGAACGAAGTTATGTGTACAAATTGGAATAAGCACCTAGATGGTGGTGAAATAGTATGTCAGCCATCACCTCAATTGCAAACAGCACCTTCCTTTCCCTAGTGGATAACATTGTCAGGGTTATTCTTTTTTGCTAAAATTTCCATAGGAGAAGGAAGTGTCCTGTCCTTTTAAATGTTCTGAATTATTGGACTGCAACCATTGTCTACTAGATGGCAAATGAAACGTTTCCTTTTTAAGCTGGTGACTAAAATCAAGGCCAGTCTTCTCACAGAGCTCTTTGAAGATGACTGAAATCATGGGTAAAAGGAGAACAAAACACAGAACATTTTTAGAAAATGAATTTGTTAGGTCAAATTACAACTCCGAAAGACTCAATGAAGTATACCTTTTAAGTTTCTGGTTTATTGTTTCCTGATAAGTAAAAATGCATTTCAGCATTATTCCTCTCCACCTAGGTGTAAACTCTGATATTCACTGTAGGCTTAGAGGGCTCCAAATCTCAGCACTGTAGTATCAAATGTGTGCTTCGTTGTCATTCATAAGCTTGGTTCTGGTATCTCCCCAAAGCCCATAAATCATTATCAAATAAGAAAATCAAGTAATTAAACTCTCTGGCCTGAATCTGATCTATACTCTCTACCTTCAGCATAGAAAGCTATTCACTCATACGGCTAGTTAAACGCTCTAATAATGAACTTGGATCAGGAAAATGATTTTGCTAATTCTTTCACAAACAGAGAGAGTAAGGGAGCTGATTTCCTCCCAATTACACATGCCAAATTCACTTGCTGTCAGTGGCTTGGATAGAAGGCCGAAGCTGTCATACATGGTAAAGGATGATAAAAGTATTAATAGGACTAAGTTAAAAAAAAATTGCCTTCATAAATTACATCTGAACTCTTTCCTTGAGATGACCGGAGGGCATGTTGCAAATTCAACAGTTTATGGCCAGTTATGTTTTATCCTTAAACTCACACAAAACAAGCAATTATTTAGAATGAAATAATCACTTTAATATTTATAGACTTGAGAAAGAACTTGAATTAAAATTCAGTCTGGAGCCTAAATTGGCACCATGTGAATACAGAAAGATTTCTATATACATGCACAAATTAGTTTAATTAACATATATAGGTAAAATATATTTGTTTTACTTGATATACTTGTTTTGACAGACCTTTCCTGGGGTTACACTTATGTTTATTAGTTGGCTGGGCATGATACAGGTTGAACACCCCTCAGTTCCAGGGCCTTGGCAAAATTAACCTCCAGAGGCTTGCCTGTGCCTTTGGTGAGCTTCAGGGATTTGATGCAACCTCGGAACCGAATGCTGGTTGTCAGGCCAAACTGCTTGAGGTCATCTGAAAAATGTAATGCAAGAGGGCTTAGCATTGAAATGCTTCTGCAGCAAATATTAAGAGCATGTTTCAAAGTCAACTGTTAGCTTGAGATTAAATTGGAATGCTGGACGCTGGGTGCGGGTGACTCATGCCTGTAATCCCAGCACTTTGGGAGGCTGAGGCAGGCAGATCGCCTGAGGTTGGGAGTTTGAGACCAGCCTGACCAACATGAAGAAACCCTGTCTCTACTAAAAATACAAAATTAGCCGGGCATGGTGGTGCATGCCTGTAATACTAGCTACTCGGGAGGCTGAGGCAGGAGAATCGCTTGAACCCGGGAGGTGGAGGTTGCAGTGAGCCGAGATCATGCCACTGCACTCCAGCCTGCATTCCATGCCACAAAAGCAAAACTTTGTCTCAAATTAAATAAAATAAATTGGAATGCTGTTTTATGCAAAGTTAGTGGTTTTGTGTTTAGCTTGACTTACAGAATTGTAGAAAAAGATCGACTATTTAAAAAAACTTTTTGAGACAGGGTCTTGCTGTGTTGCCTAGGCTGGAGCGCGGTGGTAAAATCAAGGTTCGCTGCAGCCTCCACCTCCTGGGCTCAGGCAATCCTCCCTTCGCCAAGCTGCTCTCCAACTCCTGGGCTCAAGAGATCTGCCCATTTCAGCCCAAAGTGTAATTCCAAAGTGTTAGGATTACAGGCGTGAGCCACCGTGCCTGGCCTCAACTTTTTAATAGTTATATAGTATAAAATATGAAAATATCTAGAATTACACATCTTAAGACATGGAATAACTTGGTTTTGGATGAACAAATTTACAGTTGTGACTTAAAATTGTAACATTTATTTCATGAAACAAAGCAATTAATCAAATACTTTTGAGTACTGACTTAGAGCTTTTTGAAGGTGACTTTCTTACATTGTAAAAATAAATCCCTAAAGGTTAAGTAGGTTGGAAATTCATATAGACTCTTCCTCTTATCATGGAGGTGCTTGTTTCAGCAGGCCTACTAGGTGTTAATGAGGATCCCATTTAATAGACCAAATGAAGAAGTACATTACCTCTTTCATACTATCTTGGAATTTATTCTGATCAAAGCAAAAGGTCTTTTTAAAACCCAGAAGCCACTTTGGAAAGAGAAGCTGTCTTTGGGCCTCCATTGATTCTCTATCAACATTGGTCTGTCAACAATTGCTGAATATACAGTTTGCTTGTTTAGTTAAGCAAAGGAGCCTTATATAAATGGGGACAAAAGTTCCTCTTGATAAAAATGATGAAAGACCACTCCAGGAGCCTATGTTATTACAGTACTTATTAAAAGGCACTTGGCTTACTTCTATCAAGTTGGCCACTCTTGTTTATGGACACTTTAGGTAAATCTCTGCAGTTCACATGCTATATTGAATGTGCTAGAGAAAGATTTTGAATAAGGATTTATTGCCTGGGTTTCTTTGTAATATAAATATAAACTCTATAATAACATGGGGGGAAATTAGCTACATTTAACCCAATGATTTCCAGAACTTGAGGAAATAAGTTCCATAACATTTTATGATTCCTCTGGTATATTAATTTTTTTAAAAAAAAGAATCAAAAAGAACACCAAGTTTGGCTTGAATTGCTGTTAAATGCCTCATATCTTTTATAAGCCAAATTCATTTCCTTTAGACTCAATCTCTTCACGAATGAAACTTAGGGGGCTCTCATGAAAAGTTGAGTCCCATGTGGTTTATATAAGTAATAAGCTCATTTTACACACTGGAAATTTTAGGTAAGGTGCTATTTATAGGAGTAGGCTCTAAAGCTAGAAAGCAAGTACACATAAGCAAACATTCTTAGACATATGTCAATATAAATGTTTTCAAAACCACTAACATAAGAAAGCAAAGAAATTCTTGCTGGGTTAGCCAACACTCACCTGGGAAGCCTCCAACAAACACAGGATCATTTGTGTCAGCTGATGTAGATGCCGGGTTTGGGCTTTGGGCTTCCACCTGGTTCCCATCGACTGTGAGCACAACGCGGTGTTTGATCTTGTTGGCGGTGACTTTATGCCATTGTCCGTCACACAAATGACCCGGAATCTCAGCATCATAGACAGCAGTGAATCTGCCGGCACCATTGTCCACATGAAACATCAGCTGGAAAGTAGGAAACAGAACAGTCACAGATGGTTTCATTAAAGGAGTATCATGATGGCTCACGTATAAAAATTATCAGATCTCTAGGAAAGACATCGGCTGGAATCATTTGAAATGGACGTAACTGGGCATATTGAAAAAATTTTAAAACTTGACAGAAATTAAAGTATAAATCTAATCACCACGAGACACAAATTATGTTCTTTGCTTTGGGTCATTGTTGGGAGTTAATAGGCAGGACATGTGAAGCTGGTAATAACTCTGCTTTCAGGAAAATTTGAGGCCAGGTGACAAGAAAAGGACCTAGTGTACACAAGAAAAAAATTCTACCTCAGATCTTTTTAGAATGTGAGAATTCTTACTGAACCTTATAAAATTTTCTTAAAAGATGTATTTAAAGTGACTCATAAATTTGGTCTGCAAATTCAAAGTAAAGGATTTTTCAAATTTTAAACTTTTGATGTTTTAATTGTATTTTTTTTCCTTCATGGATTTCATTTTATATACAAGATTGAGAGTTACATAAATTACATTTTGGGGACCGTTTCATGTCACAGGTGCCAAAGACCTGAGCCAGAAGGCCAGTTAAATTCCTAACAATGAGGAACTTAGATTAGAGGTTCTGGTCTAAATGAGAAAAATCTGTTTTTAGTAATGTGGAAAGGCCCCCTGAAATCTGAGATGACAGAATTCTTTTGAAGCTGATGAAGAAAAGAAACATATTGAAACATTAAAAACATTAGTCGGTTTGGCAACACATTTGACAAGGTAAAATAAAAGAAATGGGATTTTAAAAAAGAAGATTAAAAATGCAAGTAAATAGGTGAAAAGTTTGTAAACTCTAAATGATGTAAATATGACTGAAATATTTACTATAATGGGTGAAATTTGCATAACAGGTTTTGCATGTAAAAGGAGCTTGGTGAGAAGTGCACACGACAGTGACATAGATGGTAACTGCTCTTAATGGCAGGTAATGAAATGAAGCTTACTTGAAAAAAATGTAGTAAAAGTATGTTTGGAAAATTTGGTAAAACTATTAAGTGTTGTCTATTTATTCACCCTGATTTTACCTCTAAGTGTGTGGATCTTTTTTCCTTTGAGGACGGTTTGAAAATTGAGCAGAAGGAGGAAGAAAGCAAGAAAATAATATTTTAGGACAACTATGTGATTTTTCTTCTTGGGAGGCAACACTAAGGGTGAAAATGTGAACCAAGTTGAAACACAATTCCTATTTAAAAACCAAATAGAAAATTTGTGAAATTTCTTGCTTTGCCTCCTCCTTTTACCTGCTGCCTATAGTGCAAAGCATATATAAACAGGTTGTCTCACTGCAGGGATTGAAGAGGTGTTTAGAATTTGATTATCAATTATTATCAAGCTGACACACTACTTTTATAAATCTGCTCTCTTTTGAAATCGTATCTGGATGCTTGTAAATAAAAATTGCGAAACTGCTATGCCAGTTGGCTACCTTGACTTCTAAGAGATATCCGTCCTGTTAAAAGAGGCAGACTAATTTTAGATGATCCACACCTCCACCTTTTCTCCCACTGGAGTCAATAGTTTCACAGACTGTGTGTTCTTTAAGAGGAGAGGAAGAGTGTACTTACAGCAACACGGTAAGAGCTTGAGATCTCAAACTATTTGGTTCATGATGAGTTAACATAATTCGTCTGCTGCAGAATTAATGCGTTTAAAGTTTATATTGGCCCACACAATAGTTATGCTGAAAACATACACAAATTGAAATAATCCAGAAGGATGAAAACATACAATTTAGCTTTCTCCCAACAAAAAGTAAAGCCAGGCTTTGAAATAGAGTTCCCCACACATAAACGATACCCTCACATGAACAATATTATGAAGAAATCAGGAATGTTTGGCTTGCTGACACTCACCTTTTCATCAATCATTTCAATACCCATTCCATCCATTTTTTGACTACTGATTCCCAGAAGAACTCCAGTTGTTCTAGTTGTGCGGAATTCAAATTCTACAAGAAGATCCAATCCCACTTTGAATCCACCAACTGTAAAATGAAGATTTTAAAATATTATGGATTAGAGTTAATTCAAGTGTATACAATGTAAGACTTACTAGATTTCAATTCAAATGCTAGCTAATTCTAATGAGGGCTGTAAGTTTCAGATCCTGCCTGGCCCATACTTCCACTACTGTGTCATGTAACCCATTCCATAGTTATTGTTTATTTTGTGGGCTACCTTCCCTGCTAGAATTTAAGTTCTATGAGATCAGAGGCATTGTCTATATTTCTCACCATTTTATCCCTGGGCTTACCAAAGTATTTCACACATCGTGGAGGTTTAATATATATTAGTTGAATAAATGGATACACTCTGAGATTGACTCAAAGAATCTCACTGTCAGGTATTATTATCTCAGAAGTCTCTCTATTGGGCTAAGAAAAAACATTTCAGTGATTTTTCAGTAAAATTTTAGTGGGGCACACTAAATGGTACCACGATCATTGAAAAAGTTTCAAAAGTTGCCAAACATTTTATTAATAAAGAGAGAAACTGCAAGTATAATGTCGATGGGTAGCTTCTGGGACATAAGTAGCCTTATCTTGTTCATCCAGTTAATTCTTTTCTCTGTGATTTTCCATATTTGACTCTAATTTTTTTTTTAAATCTTTGAGCAAGTATTTAAGACATGCCTCTTAGGAACAAACTGATCTGTTAAGATCTGTCTAGACCACACCAACTGAACTGAGTATCAGGGAAATACTGAGGGGAATTTTCTCCAAGTTTTCTTCTTATTAGGCAAGAAATAAATGCTACGTGTAGCCATGGCTGTCCAATGAAGGGTGGTAGCTGTTATGTGAAAGACTTTTTGTTCTACTGAGAACCTTGATGGGTTTGGATTGGCAAAGGTGGGTTTATAGCAGATTATAAGAATAAAAGCTAGCTAGTTGTGCCTGGGCAACATAGTGACACCCCTTCTGTAAATAAATAATGAAGTAAAGGGCAGAAGAAGCTAAATTGTTCTGCAAAATAAAAAGGGAGAAGGAAAAGAGAGGAATGAGAAGAGGAAGTTCAGCTGAGCGCAGAAGGAATGAAGAGGCCAATGAAAACCCGGGTGATTGGGTGGATGGAAACTTTTAAGAAAAAAGATGTCAAAGGTTAAGAAGAGTTGTATGTTTTCCAGTAAAGTCATCTCTTCTGACCACCCAAGTCTTACGTAAGCTGTATTACACTGTGTGTTCAGGGGATGGTAAGAGTCATTAAAAACTGAGGAAGTGGGTAATTTTCTGGTTTGGTTTGATGCAGAATTGTAAGAGCCAAGGCAGGATGGCAAGTCAATCCATTAACTGCAAAAGTTGAAGCTGAAACTTGTCATAAAATTTAAGAGAACATCAGCTATCTATGAATTTGCAGAAATCTTGGGGAAGCTTTTACACTTTCATAGCACATGGAATTTGGGGTTCAGCATAATCCGTAATGTTTCAATATTTAACACATCCTATGTTTTTCTGTTTTATGCTTCTGTGTAGGTGAGGTTTCCTGGTTTCCTACCGATATTTTGCTGGAGGGTCCTACTCTTTTATCACCCATTACTTTGTATGGGAGTGTTAAAATATCTGAATCCTTGTTCAAATGCGGATTCCTCCATGAAACGTTTCCTGATTTTCCCAAACAAAATTAATATTTTTTTCTAAGTATCTACAGAACTGTGCTTTCATGTCTTTTAGAGTTTGTAATCATTTTTACTGGCTGCCTTTTAATTTCTGAGCAAACAGAATCTTACCAGTTTATAATATATTCTTGATAGAAATAACTACATTACTTATTTCTCTGCTTCTCATCATAATCTCCACATGTTATGTGCTTATTAGTTTCTTTCTAATGAATAGACACATTTCTATGATGCCACAGTACTGAATATTCTATCTTAAAGTATATTAATGGCAGATTTACAAAATTATTATGCAGTTTTCATTGTAGACATCTTTCACTTCTTTGGTTAATTCCTAAGTGTTTTATTTGTACAAAGCTATTGTAAATGGGATTACTTTCTTGATTTCTTTTTCCGATTGTTTGCTGTTGGCATATAGAAATGTTACTGATTTCTGTATGTTGACTTTGTATCCTGCAGCTTTATTGAATTTGTCAGTTCTAATGGTTTTTTAGTGGAGTCTTTAGGCTTTTCCAAATATAAAATCATATCATTTGCAAACAAGAGTAATTTGACTTCTTCCTTGGATGCCCTTTACTTTTTTCTCTTGTCTGATTGCTCTAGCTAGGACTTTCAATAGCATGTGGAACAACAGTGGTGAAAGTGGGTATCCTTGCTTGTATTCCAGATCTCAGAGAAAAATACAATAAAAACCGTAAAACATTGATGCGAGAAATTGAAGAAGGCACAAAAAAGGAAAGATATTCCATGTTAATGGATTGGAAGGATCAACATTGTTAAAACGTCCATACTACCCACAGCCATCTGCAGATTTAATACAATCCCTATCAAAATACCAATGAGATTCTTCACAGAAATAAAAAAAAAATTCTAAAATTCATATAAAACTACCAAAGTCCCAGAATAGCCATAGCTATCCTAAGCAAAAAGAACAAAATTGGAAGAATTACATTGCTGGACTTCAAATTATACTACAGAACTATAGTCACCCAAATGGAATAGTACTGGCGTACAAACAGGCACATAGACCAGTGGAACAGAATAGAGAAGCCAGAAATAAATACATACATTTACAGTGAACTCATTTACCATAAAGGTTCTTAGAACATACATTAGGGAAAGACCAGTCTCTTCAATAGATGATGCTGGGACAACTGGATATTCATATGCGGAAGAATGAAACTAGACACCTATCTCTTGCCATATACAAAAATCAAATCAAAGTGAATCACAGACTTGACTGTAAGACATCCAACTGTGAAACGATTATGATAAAACATTGAGGAAATGCTCCAGGACATTGAAGTGGGCGAAGACTTTTTCAGTTATACTCCACAAGCACAGGCCACCAAAGCAGAAATAGACAGATGGGATCACATCAAGTTAAAAAACTCCTGCACAGCAAAGGCAACAATCAACAAAGTGAAGAGACAACCTATAAAATGGGAGAAAATATTTGCAAACTACCCCTCTGAGAAGGGATTAATAATCAGAATATAAAAGGAGCTCAAACAACTCTATAGGAAAAAAAATCTAATAATTCTATTTAAAAATGAGTACAAGATTTGGGGACATTTCTCAAAATAAGATATTCAGATGGCAAACAGGTATATGAAAAGGTGCTCAACATCACTGATAATCAGAAAAGTGCAAATCAAAACTACAATGAGCTATCATTTTACCCAAGTTAAAATGGCTTTTATCCAAAAGACAGGCAATAACAAATGCTGACGAGGATGTGGAGAAAAGGGAACCCTTGTACACTGTTGGTGGGAATGCAAACTAGTGCAGCTGCTATGGAGAACAGTTTGGAGGGTCCTCAAAATACTAAAAATTGAGCTACCATACGATCCATCAATTCCACTCCTAGATATATACCCAAAAGAATATTGAAGACATATCTGCACTCCCATATTTATTGCAGCACAATAGCCAAGATTTGGGAGCCACCTAAGTGCCCATCAGCAGATGAATGGATAAAGAAAATGTGGCACATATACACAATGGAGTACCCTTCGAGCCATAAAAAAGAATGAGATCCTGCCATTGGCAACAACATGGGTGTTCTCAAGGTCATTATGTTAAGTGAAATAAGCCAGGCACACAAAGGCAAACATCACATGTTCTCACTTATCTGTGGGAGCTAAAAATGAAAGCAATTGAACTCATGGAAGTAGAAAGTAGAAGGATAGTTACCAGAGGTTGGGAAGGTTAGGGGTAGGGAGGAGTAGGGATGGTTAATAGTACAAAAATAGTTTGAATGAATAAGATTTAGTATGTGCTAGCACAGGGGTAACTATAGTAAAAAAATATTAATTGTGTATTTTAGAATAACTAAAAGAGTACAATCAGATTGTTTGAAACATAAAGGATGAGTGTTTGAGGTGAGGGATACCTCATTTACCACTGCATGCCAGTGTCAAAATATCTCATGTAACCCATAAATATAATATATACACTCGCTATGTTCCCCACAAAAATAAAAAATTAAAGAATTAAATAATTATTATGTAGAAGTTATTTCCTAATTCTTTCTTTCTTTTTATTTAACTGTACCTTCATGACCAGTGATATAGACTCATACTGGAAATGTTCATTGGAAATGGAGTAGAGGACATACTTAGAGAAAGCCAGGAAAAATGCTAGTCATTGTCAGCATAAACAAGAAATGGACACCAGTGTGCATTGTGTGTATGGGTGTGTATTGAAGAGGAGGAGATTATGAAACGCAGCCTTCCAGGGAATTGAAAAGAAGAAAAAAGTCATGTCTCATCTCCAGAAAAAGAGGGAAAATTGGAAGATAGAAAAACAACATAATATAATCATATGAGTGTTCTTACAAAATTATTTATTTTGCTGTTCTTAATCGCCAGTGAAGGAGATGGAATAAATTCTCCAAATAGGCCATTTCTTTATTTCTCCTATTAATTCTTACCAGGATCAGATACATGAATATTTAAGAGGCACTTTTGAAATTACTTCCATAACTTTCTGTTTGGCTTAAATAAAGGATACTACTAGTTTCGGACTCTGGGAACTTTTATTTTTTGGTACTAGCAAGAAGTTAGTATTTGTATCTAGTTAATAATCAACAGGAAGGAAATGAAAGAGCCTTACCTGCTTTGGCAAAACCTGTTCCATCAAAATATGTTCCCCTCTGAGCATTTGCAAAACATGTCCCAACTTGGAAGCTGGAGGTGGGTTGTTCCAGATCAGCAGGGGCCTCTGCCATGTGGAGATTCCTGATGCAGCCATCAATGCTATAGGTCACCTAAATATCCAGATCAGAAGAAACAAATGTTGGGTTTTGGCAGAACTTTGCCTTTATGTAGAATACAGTCATTTGCGGGGTGCTCTATGTGCGTAGCTATTGGCTGGTTGTCTTAGGATAGGACGTCCCCCAAAGCTGCCTGGGTTCTCTATTACCACCAGGCTTCCTGGCATGGGTGCAGAAAATCCTGTGTTGTGCTTCTCAACTTGGATGTATCTATCCTGGAATATGACTGTTCTGTTAGTCTAAATACTGCACACTATGTCTCCATTGGTTTGACAGAGCTATGGAACCCATGTGGGTATCATAAGTTTTAATTGGTCTCTTATGTTCCTGATTTTATGTTTCTATTAATAGTTTATTAACTTTACTATATACACATTTTGTCATAGCCTACGTTCAATTTCTATTTGAAAGGTAATTAGGTTTGGTTCAGTGCTTCTTCCTTTTGAATATCTAATGAAAGCAGCAGATCCCTAAGAAAATGCAAATATGCATAAACCTTGAAAGTTTACATGAAACATCGGGGGTTCAAGGAATTTAGAAGTAACTCAATCATACTCTGTTTTTAGAAATCCAAGTTAATTGCTTTTACCACTGTCACTTCAGAGACTCTTGTTTTTGATAGATCTAAAAAGCATACCCAATAGCTATGAAAGGAAAGTAATACTGATGATCCGCAAATGCTGAGAATTACAACTATAACGGGTGACTGTCTTTGATAAATGAACAAATCTACATTATCATGCGTTCTAACTTGAGTATAGAAATGTATCACATTTGTATCTAGTGTGTTCTCTAAAAGCACCAATCAATCCCCCATGCTTCTCTCAGAGCAGCACTTTCCAAAGCAAACTAGGATATGTGGTCTTATAAAATATTTCTTTGTGTATATCAACTTACAAAATTGTAAGGGCTTTAAATTCGGAATCCAAAATTGGGTAACTGTACTCTGACTACTGCATCTCTCAATATTTGCTAAATCTCTTTGCCTGAAACACCATGAATAAATACTGTCATTTTCATCTTTCAGTGCTTTTTATATACCTGCTAATCTTCCAATCACTTTATTTTTATTTATTTATTTATTTATTTATTTATTTATTTATTTATTGAGACAGGGTCTCACTCTGTTGCTCAAGCTGGAATGCAGTGGCGCTATCACAGCTCACTGCAACCTCTACCCCCTGAGTTCAAGTGATTCTCATGCCTCAGCCCCTGTAGTAGCTGGGACTACAAGCACACACCACACCAGGCTAATTTTTTGTATTTTTTGTAGAGATGGGGTTTCACTATGCTGGCCAGGCTGGTCTCGAACTCCTGGCCTCAAGTGATCTTCCTGCCTTGGCCTCCCAAAGTGCTGCGATTACAGGTGTGAGCCTCCTCGCCCAACCCAATCACTTTAAACATCTTTATGCAATCCTCTTTGTTTAGTATTATCATTACCCTATTTTGCAAAAGAGAAATTGTTGTTAAAAAAGATTAACTTGCTCCAAAACACACAGCTAGTCAATAGTTAAATAGGTACTCAAGCCAAGGGAGTCTGACACCAGGACCCCACTCAGTTTTCTGTGGTATTGTCTCTTGTAATCTAATCTCCTTCTGTCACTTATCAGAAAAGACGGCTTCCTATTCACCTGACCGTTTTCATGGGCCTATATGACCTAATAATTCAAAATATATCAATAAATGAATCAGCCAGATATTTAGGTAACAAAGAAGAAATTAGATATTTACTGGACCAATTCTTCTGGTAGTGTAGTTGATGGGTAACCCACCAATGTACAGCATTCCTACAACATCCAGGATGTCAGCTTTTTTGGGACTGATGGTTCTGTTGGAGGCCCCATCCACATAAAGAATTCCTTCTTGCTTACTTCTCATTATCTTAATCTACAAAAAAAGAAAGGTGTCATTAATGCCAATCCTGAACAAATTTCAAATAGGCAGAGTATAAGACACAAGGACTTCAACGATGCTACCAAGGAAAATTAAAACAACTTACACAGTGCTTAGTATGTGCTAAGCCCATTATATATGGGAAAGTTAAAGCCATCTTATAGCATATCTCAAACTCTGTCTTTTCCATGACTACTATCACCAAAAGAATACAAAATTTTCCTGGGTCGGTTGTAGGTTGAAGTCTCCTCTGTAGGTTGCCAAGAGTAGATATGTGTCAAGAGGGAGGAATATGGTAAGGAAGCCCTCAGACTAACAGCACGCTCATGAATTAAGTGAGCAGCAAAATTCATGCACAGTTTGAAAAGTGCATTAGTTTGATTGAACAAAGAGCGTGGGCTCCAACCCAATTTCAGAATTTCAGATATGCTGCACCCCTTTGCCCAACAGGCCCTTCTTGTGCAGAATTAAAGGAAGAGTGGCACAAATAGGCTGCGCTTCTTTCTGCAGAACCTGATTAGTACAAACTTGGGGAGGAAGCTAGAGAACTGACTGAGGCTGAAATTAGGGCAGTGGAGTGAATTATCTTCTGAGACAGAATGAAATAAGGGGTCAGAGACTGGTGTAGACTGGTGTAGAGCATAAAAACCTTGAGTCTGAATTTATGGAAAGGAGCGTGTAAGCCTGTGAAATGCTAAAATACAATGATGATTTAAAAATGAGTCTGGGTCAGGATTAGAGTAATTTAACACTTCATTTTACACATATCTATTCTGGTTTAGGAAGTAAGTTTAAAAAACCATCAGAAATAAAATCTGCTTCTAATTCCACTAATTATAGTATTTAAGTTCCGTTTCTTAATCCCAGCCTCACTGTGGTTCAACAATATGTCTTTTTCTCAAGTGTCATATTTATTATTCTATTAGCTAGAGATGGGAGAAACCTTAATGAGAGCTCCTTCATTTGGATTTGGATTTGCTAGTCATAAGCTCCCAGCAAAAATGAAGATTCCTTTTCTTATTTCCATGATAACAAGCTGGTTGGCTTTGCATTTTTTAAGGTTCTTTGGCTTTCTAGAATATAACAAGTCAAAGTATGTTAACATTAACGAAATCTAACATCTAATAATATCGTACTCTGAAAATTAAAATTTTTATTGGTCTACCTAGGGAAGCTTTACTTTAATAGGCTATTGCAGGTGCAGAGACAAATGTTGAGATGGTGTTTTAATCAGGCAGTATATTATCCATTTGCAGTCATGCCAAAGGGGACAGTAAGCTGGCAAATGAACCTCTGTGCCCATAATAGTACCAGTTTCTGGGTGTAAGGCCAACGTATTTAAAGTTGTTCCAAATAACTGTCAGTGGAAATGATACCTTAGAGCCCTTTAAACACCATAAAGCAGAGATTCCCAGATTCCTGGTTTTCACAGACCAGTATGTGGTTAGGTGGGGAGTGTTGGGAGCCATTTTAGTGTTGTCAACTTTTGCTTTTGCCAAATACTATTTCATAATAGAAAGGCCCTTTAGACACCATAAAAATGCTAAAATAGAATCTCGGAATAAATATTATTCCTTGAAATTGAATACATAGAGCTTTATGATGAACACATTCTGTTGTTCTGTGTTTCTCACTTACAGTAGTGGAAATGTCTTCAGCCATCTTGCCTCCGTTTATGGATAGATGTTTGAGAACCACAGTCATATAGCAGAGACGGAACCATGAAGAGGCATGCCAGTGATCAAATATAAATCTACTCAGGTCTGATCACATTTTCCAAAATGGAGGTAGTTGTATATGGCACTCATTTTATTTTTAGCTTCTGCCAGAGTCAGTGTCTGCACTGGCAAAATATACTGGCACCAGGAGAATGCTGATGGCTGCCACTCAGTAATTCCCTTAGGGTACTGCCAGTATCCAGGGGACTCTTACCTTGTGCCACTGGCCATCATTGATTTTGGTGGGGATCATGGTGTTGGTGTCCCCACTCCCCAAGTCATAACTGAAGTAGGGCAATCCATTTCTCAGCTGAACTGTTGCAAAATCGGCATGATTGATGCGAGCCATGTAAAAAAGCAAGCCGGATTCAGCTTCGGTTCTTACTTCCAACTCAATTGTGAGCCTGGAACAAAAGGATGCAACGTCAAACAGAAAAATAAGAGCGTTCTCATGCTAAAATAGAGCAGTATTAGATCGTGGGTTCATTTTCAGACAGGATAGTAAAACTTCCTCAGAGATGAGGAATTTCCTGTGCTACTGATTTCCTAAATTGGGCTCCTCAGGCTTGGAAAAATATAACTCTATTCTCTACTGTTTTAATAAAAAGCTAACTTCATTAATTAATAAGTGTAGTAGATTAAACTTGATTAAACACGAATACTCAGTTCTTCATTTATCAATTCTTTCTCAGTGTCTCAGAATGATACATACCGGTTTTTAACTTTGGTGTCATCAAATGCAATTGCAATGTGACTGTTTTTTGAAAGCCCGAACTGCTTGCTCCCTATCAAAAGAGCTGGTTCTGATTCTGCAGCACAAGGACCCTGTAAAATACCAAGGAGAAAAAGACAGGAGATTATGGACTGTTCTTTAAAAAGGTATTGATGCTGTTTAATTGTTTCTTACATATCAGTGTAATTCTTTAAGAATAAAAACTATACCTTATTCATTGCTGTAATCTACTGCATAGCAAGTACCTATTACCAAGTGCTCAGTGACTATGAATCAGTTTTCTTATATTACACCCTCGAATTTCTAAATGAACGTGCCCAAACATATTTATTGATTAATTCATAGTTTCATTATCCTCTACAATTTTATTTATATTTCTGAGAAAACTGGAATTTCCCTTTCATTTTTCCTTCACATATGAAGAGTTTCATTCTTAGAAGATCGAACAGGGAAAATGACAAGCTAGCCAGCTGGGTTTTAAGAGTAGAAAAACGTGTTTTTTCTTGCCCTCCCCATTTCCATCTCCCACTATATTACTTTTTCTTGAAAATTATCAGTCCACTAGAAGGTTTTCATGAATTTAGACTTTCAAGATGGTGTATCTAAACCTGCAAGTCAGCCCATTCAGGCCCTTGCCAGTTGCTAGGCAACCCAGCACATTTTAAAAATGTAACCAACCATACACCATTTCAACTGCCACTGTTCAAAGATCAGCTTCCTAGGGTGCTGAAGAGGCAGAGCTAGGTGCGGGGCTGTGCAGTGCAGTCACGTGGCTTAATGCTCTCCTCCCACCATGTTGAAATTCTTAAAAATTTTTGAATGAGGGGCCCTGCATTTTCATTTTGCACTGGGGCTTGCAAAGTATACAGCAGTCCTGGCTACAGAGATCACATTTGGCTACCATAACACACAGCTCCATAAATAAGCAAGGCTCCTTAAATTACCAAAGCCACAATTCCTTTTCCTGTTCTCTATTTTCTCAAGATAGCTTGATATACAGGCTGCTTAGGAAGTCTCTTAGAACACACAGTACGTAGGAAAATAACCTGCACACCCTCACCGACACATCTGTTTTTAAGATCTGTACTTAATAGCTCTGGCCACTGCCCCAGTGAGCACTGACTCAGCAGGGTTTTGATGCACAGTGTTCTTCCCAAAGAGATGACTCATCAGCACACAGAACATTTTTACTTGATGAGGAAAAGCCTTGTTCTCTTTTCTCTTGATCTTAGTCAAACGAAGCACTCTGCCACGGCAGGTAAAAGGCTTAAAGTGTTTTGAAATGCTATAAAATTGGTCTTCATGGAAGTATTTCCCTTCTTGCTTCCCAGGAGATGGTCAGTTATAAAGAGCAGACTGTGGCCAAAATTCACATAGCTATGCAAAACCCCGTGGGTAGGACAGGAAAATGCTATTCATTCGCACCGCACCGCTGAATGGCCTCTTTTAGAATCAGCATGTGGCACCTTTCTTATTACGCTGCCTGCAAAAAGAAACCGAACGGAGAGGCTTTTCGGTAGCTTAAGATCTCTGTCATGAATACTTCTATTAATAGAATTGGGATCTTTTATCAGCCTCTCACGATATTTCCCGGACAGAGGACCATCTCGACAAACATGCGCGGCCTGCAGTCTGCCTACGAAATCCCTAAGAGAATCCTATCTGCTGTGAGTCCACTGGGGGCAGAATTTCACTGAAACATCTTTACACCCTCAGCTCTGAAAATTGAGGGATTAAAAAACGTCAATGGATGCTGAGCAATTAGGAAACAATTATGTGTAACTGAAAAGAGAACCACAACTGAGTGGGTTATGTCCATATTACTGCTATTGGTCACTTGTCTACCACATGTAATTGTGAATATAACTTCTCTATTAAAATTTAAAACATTTTCGAGGTGGCAGCTGTACACTCCTGGTAGCAGCTGTACACGGTGGGGAATGTTTTGATTGCTGGCGGACTGGACAGGTGTATCCAAAACTGGTCCTGAGCTAAGCAGCAGTTTCTAGTTTAGCTTATTTTTGTTGTCATTGTTGTTGTTTTGTTGTATCCTATCAGATTCTCTAGATGGACAAGGCACTGGTCAAGCCATTTTAGAAAACACCTTGGACCAGAAAAGGACAGGGATTTTGTCAAAGTTCTTTTAAGAATCCTTACAGGACACGCTCACTTGAAATGTAGGAAGAAGAGCCCCTCCTGGATTAGATCCTCCTTCATTTCTGCAACAGCCCTCGAGAAGCAGGTAGAAGCAGTGGTTAATAAAACGGTGTTCTCAAATGAGCCAATGTTACAGAAAAGAGTTGTACCAAACTGATCACGCTAGTATGTAACCTCAAAGTTTAAAGACATTACAGTATATAGTCCTTTGTTTTTAAGGACATCCAACAATGCTTACTATCATTGAATTGCAACAGGATGAATATTGCTTTTTTTTTTTTTTTGAGACGGAGTTTCGCTCTTGTTACCCAGGCTGGAGTGCAATGGCGCAATCTCGGCTCACCGCAACCTCTACCTCCTGGGTTCAGGCAGTTCTCCTGCCTCAGCCTCCTGAGTAGCTGGGATTACAGGCATGTGCCACCATGCCCAGCTAATTTTTTGTATTTTTAGTAGAGACGGGGTTTCACCATGTTGACCAGGATGGTCTTGATCTCTTGACCTCGTGATCCACCCGCCTCGGCCTCCCAAAGTGCTGGGATTACAGGCTTGAGCCACCGCGCCCGGCCTTGAATATTGTTTTAATAAAACTATCACTTTCCTTTATTAAACTGGTAGTTGGAAAAGGACTGAGAAGTGCTGGTGTAAGAGGGTTTGTTTGCTTGTTTTTTGAGATGGCATCTCACTCTGCTGCCAGGCTGGAGTGCAGTGGCACGGTTTTGGCTCACTGCAACCTCCGCCTCCCAGGTTCAAGTGATTCTCCTGCCTCGGCCCCCCGAGCAGCTGGGATTACAGGCACACGCCACCATGCCCAGCTAATTTTTGTATTTTTAGTAAAGATGGGTTTCACCATGTTAGCCAGGATGGTCTCCATCTCTTGACCTCGTGATCTGCTTACCTCGGCCTCCCAAAGTCCTGGGATTACAGGTGTGAGCCATTGCAACCAGCCAAGCGACCTGAAGTGGGACAAAAATTCCCAATCCTCTAATTTGGTAATGTTTTATACAAATCTAGATCTCCCCCTTGCTTGGTTAAAGGATATCTTCCTTGCATCAGTTTTCCTTGGGTGAGCTGAAACCAAGTCTGATGAGTGTAAGGGAGGGACATGGTGGCTCGTGTTTGTAATCCCAGCATTTGCAAAGCCGAGACAGGAAGACTGCTTGAGGCCAGTAGTTCAAGACCAGCCTGGGCAACAAAGTGAGGACCCCTGCCCTCTTCTGTCTCTCCAAAAGTACAACAACAACAAATTAAAAGAATAAAAAGTTAGCCAGGCATGTAAGTGCATGCCAAAAGCCCTAGCTACTCAGGAGGCTAAAGCAGGAGAATCACTTGAGCCTCGGAGTTCAAGGTCAGAGTGAGCTATAATTGCACCACTGCATTCCAGCCTGGACAACAGAGCAAGAGCCTGTCTCAAAAAGAAAAAAAACACGATGGGTTCAGGGCAGCACTAGCGTATTGGTTTGCTTGGCGTTGCTTCCTCTTCTCTTCCTTCTGCCTCATGTCCCACAGTGGGTGGAGCTGCTCATCCAGCTGTTCAATCTTCTTTTTTCCTTCTAGCATTTTAAAGGGGAACATGTGAGATGGAATAGAAACTGCCCCGTGCTTTGCACAGAAACAAAATGATCTTGTCACTTAGGATGTTTTCAACTCCGCTTGCCCTTGAAATCTAAGCTAAGAAAAAAGGGTAAGAGAAAATATCTTCTAATGAGATACTTTTAAGGAAACTTTAAAGAATGCTCATTGCAAGATGAATCATCCTTCTCTAAGCTAGTGTATACTTGAAGGAGTCCTCATCTCTACGGGCGTGATGCTTTACCTGCGCTGTTTGGGACACACTGATCTCTAAAATGCGTTAAAACAATAAAAAAAAAATTCACGGTCTCAGTAGAGGCTCATCAATCTCAACGTGTTACAATTCTGCCACCTTGTGGGGACTTTTTAAAGTACTAGAAATAGTTAACGGGGAAAATGGGGTATGAAAGGAGGACAGATATGCTTGTTTTTCATTTGCCTTTGCTTGGTAGGTTACAAGTTGTCAGCAGACAGGACTTGGGTGGGGAGTGTAGTGCGGTGGTGCACCTGTTGATTCAAGCAGTGATGTGGTGGGAATAATTATAAAGGAAGCCGTGCAAGTGGATAGAACACCAAGCTAGTAATGGGGCCAAAACGCTTTCATCTTCACACTGCCACTCACTTAATTTGAGGTAAGAATAAAACAATGGTTGTTTCTAACTGCAGGTTGGTGGCTGACATTTGGAAATGAGTTATTAAATTCAGGAGTGTATGTGATTCGTTGATAACCATCCCTTGAATTTCCTAGGTGCTGAGCAGAGATTTATATTGCATTTATTAAAACTGGCATCTTTATTCTTGAAAGCACCAAACAATGAATCATCATAGAAATTGCATAATTTTCTTCTTTCATGAGTCAATAATTCCCCTAATAAATGTGGGCTAAAATCACATCTGATGTTTATTTGTCATGATTTTCTTTATGGATGAATAATTGGAAGATTTTTTTTACAGCAATGACTTTAATCTTCTAAAATATGAAAGTCCTCCTACTCAAGATATTTATTGAAAAACTGAATTATTGGTAACACTGCATCTAAGCTCTTTTGGTGGGTCTTGGACATTTACAGTAATATTTAGACATTAATGGCTAAATAGGGATTCCTTGAAATGTGGAAAATGTATGTTTTCTCTTTAAATACATATCAGTATCCAATCAGGTTATCCTTTGGCCTTGACTGTACTTAGCTCTTAAAGTTGTGGCGCTAAAGCTGCTAGAGAAATCACTTTCTTTTTCTCTATTCTTTCCTCCTCTCCCACTTCTTTTCCCCAAATCCCAAAGAGACCTTAACAATACAGGGACTCTCCATGGCTACTCGTGTTACTCTTCTCAGTTTTCATATTTTAAACTTTGAGGTTTACAGCT